ACACACACACACACACACACACACACACCTGCTGTTCTCCCGATCTGCGACACAAACAAGGTCCAGTTCTTCCACCAACGCTGCGCTGTGTGGTATATCCAGAGTGTACGGAGTCAGTTCAGCTGGGGAAAGAAAAGGAGGGAAAAAATCCAACATAATAAATATTACTATCAGGCTAGGTTTTATATTAAGAAAATAATCTGCATAATTGTCTTGTGAAACGACAACTTTGAAGGGTAAATAGTTTTTGCCAAATTTTAGCACAGTAGATGACCATCAATGATTTATTTATAGAGGGACCAACCATCCATGTCCAGGTGCTGTTTTAGCCCAACACAGTAGATCTGAAGTATAAAAATGCTTGGTCTTACACATATTAATGTATTTATATAATTTCCCCTGCAACATCCCATATGTTTATATGAATAAATGGAAATACATGTATTTGTGCGAAGTTATTTTTCTTGGTACATGTATTTATTGCCGCTGTAATCAACTAACTGCAATGAACCTCTGCCCCAAAAAATAAATACATGAATAAATGAATGAGAACGAATGAACGATTGTATGTATAGAATGATAAAGAAAGAAAGAAAGAAAGGAAGGAGGAAAGAAAGAAGGAAAGAAATGAATTTAAAAGTTCAAAGGGGAAAGGCAAGGTTTAAGCAAACAAAAGTAGGCCTATACATATTATATAAAATCAAGACATCCTTTGCAGGACAGGAATAAAGGGGATGCAATAGTTGATAGAAATTTATTGAAAAAAAAGGATGAGTTATGGTGGTAGACCATGATTTATCTTGTGGGTGAAATTGCCGTGCCAATTAATACTCACAGTCTCCTGTTTGTGTACCCCACTGGGCTAAGAATTTTCCGTTCTCGTCAAATTTGAGCACTCGAGAGTTGCAGTACCTGTGGAAACAAGCGAGTTTGAGACAAACACAAAATCTAATATTTCTAATTACCTTTCCTGAACAAATCATTTCCCTTTATCTCCCTTTTTTTTTATTCCTTCTGTCTTTTTAACATAATATATATAATCTCTCTCTCTCTCTCTCTCTCTCTCTCTCTCTCTCTCTCT